GAGGAAGTTGGAACATGGCTAAAACCGGAAACTTGTTCTTGGTCGTTCCATCAACGAGTGAAGTACATCAAAATAAAATTATTCCCTTATTCTTTTCATCCTCACCACTGCTGTAAATACACCCTCGCACTTAACTCGGCCCTTAATATAAATTTTAAACTTTCGTTCAACTTCCCCTTTGCGTATTTATGTTTCCTCCTCTCTGAAGAATTCTCTTCTCTGGAAATTTTTTCCCGGCAAGATGGTGGCCGATTGAAAGAGGTCGATTTGTTCGGGGGAGGGAGAGGGAGGGGGGAGGTTGGAGGTAAACACGATCGAATAGAACTACGATGGAGAGGATGATACTTCTACAGACTCTTGCTGACAATTAGGGAAGTTTCAATTAGAGGAAAGAAAGTGAAGAGTCCGGGGACGATAATGCGATAGGAAAAGGGGTCGCTTTTGTTTTAAAAGTGGCATGCTCGCGTCGAAATGGCCGATCAGGGGACGATAATCGAGGCCATTTCATCCCCATTTTGTCCCCGTAATTAGCATTCTGTTTTCGATCCACGGTTAATATATCCGGGGGAGAGGGGGATGGGGTGGGGAAGGGAGAAAAAGAGAAGGAAAGAAGAAACGGGAAGGATGAAGTTCTATTCGAAAGAAAGAAACGAGTATAATTCACGTACTTAACTCCAACCGAGGAGAAAATTTATGTAGCACTCGGACACGATTATTCCGGTGGAAAAGTTGTTGAACGTTGAACCAGGAAAATTCCGTGAATATTGCGCTTACGACCCCATAACATAATGCAATTTCTTTGTTTATATCCAGCGCTTTCCAACCTTTTTTCTCTATGTCTTGAAGATCTTTATACACTCTTTCGAAAAAGATAATATAAGAACGTATTATTTTATAGTAAATAAGAACATAGGAAAATTTTTTAATGTAAATGTTTTTTTAAATGAATGTAAATTTTAGAATCGGTCGAATTTCTATCTTTATTCTTTTGATATCGATAGATCTCAAGAC